TAAAATTTACTATCCTAAACTTTTTTATACTATTCACTCCTTTTTTTTTCTTTTTTTACTCTCACAATATACTATTCACTCGTTAGATGTTTTTTTTCTTTTTAAATTTTCACTCTTAGTTTTTTTTTCTTAGGTTTTGTTTTTTTGTAATTTTCAAACTCTTACTTTTTTTCCTTAGTTTTTTTTTTTTTTGTAATTTTTGAATTATCTCATTTTAATCCCCGAAATTACAAAAAAAATTAATCCCTAGCTGATGCACTACATGCTTTTTTTTCTTTTTTTGATTTTTTCATCAATTTATGTTCTTTTTTTATTTAATTGGGTGTTAAAATTTTCGAAATCAATCGTTACTTTTTTTCTATACAAGCCGGCGAATATAGAATATATATATAAATCAAATATATGTACTTTTAAAAAAAAATCCTTTCACCAACATTAAATAAAAAAGATTTTATTTGTTTCATTGGTTAATTTTTATACAAGTCTATACATTAATTGTAACTTTATTTTTGGATATATTCTTATAAAATAATATATTTTTAAAGCATTTGTTTAATATTCTTAATTAATATTTCAATTTTAAATTATATATTACAAGTTTTTATTTAGGAATCCCTAAATAAAGAAAAATAAATCATGTTTTTTTGAGCAAAAATTTTATGAAAAAAAAGTAATAATTAATAAAAAAATTTTAAAATGATTTTGTTCTTTCTACTGTAATGTTATGTTGATAATTTCAAAAATTAATCTTCTCATCAGCATTAAATAAGAATTTTTTTTCATTTGTTAGTTTTTATAAAAGTCTATCTATTAATTATAACTTTATTTTTTGAAATACAATATTATAGAAAATGTATTTTTAAAGTCGTTTTAATTCGATGAGAAGATTTTTTTTCATCTATAAAGAAGAATGATTTGTTTTTTTTAAGCAAAAGAATTTATAAAAAACATTAGAAAAAATTAATTAATTAATAAATCATAATTAAAAATTTTAAAATTTTAAAATGAGTTTGTTCTATCAAATCCGCAGCGTAAGCGCAGACAACCGACTAGTAATAACTAATCATCAAACATTATCTTTATCCCAAGATAATGCTAGCAAGCTGATAGAAGGAATTGACCCGTTCAGCATTAGAATTTTTTAATATTGATTTTGGAGTTTCATAATATATTTATTTTACCCGTAGACAAATAATATTTATTGGCTGTATAAAAAGACGGGCAAAAGGTGAACTGAGGTATTCTAGCCGTTTAAAATGCCACATATAAATAATTTGAATTTGATCAAGAATAAAATAAATAAATAAATAAAAATTGTAGGGAAAACAACAGTGTTGTCCCTAATGTATTTCCCACTCCTCAATTTCATCCCAAAACAAAAATATTTATGGATTGAGCCATTAATGTTTCATTCATTTCTCAATTAAGTTCTCCTGTTAGTGCTTGTTAATATTCCCATCTAATGTACTTACTCTATGCAATAAAACTTTCTTTTAAAAAGAAAATTTGAAAAAAAAAATAATGGATTAGGAATATTCCAATCAATGAAAGCTTTTGTTTTAGGATGAAATTAATTAAAATCACACAACACATTCATGATTAATTTAAGATTTCTACAAATTTTAATATTTAATTAAAAATATTCTAATGAAGATTTAAAAGGTAATCAAAGTATTGAAGCACAAAGGTTATAGTGTCTGATCTATAGGACCTGACTTTTGTCAAGGTCCTGGTCATCTAATTACCGATTCAACGATTGATTGCAGATAGAATCGATGGTATATAAACTATTAAAAATATTTTAATCAACTATAGTACTGTTTTATAAATAACATTCCAGTCAGGACGTGGTGTACGAATGAAAATGCCTACTTATTCAATAATAATAATAATAACAAATAACAAATAAACATGCCTTTCAATATAATACCATTTTAATATGGACAACTAAACGCGACAATGTACATACATATATATGTAAAGTGTCTTATCATTAAAAATAGAGGTGAAAAAAACCTCTGTCATCAATTTCTGTACATTCTGAAACAATTGCCAAGACTAGCAATCATTTACCACATAAAGGCGAACTTCGCGAGAAGCTCTAGGGAATTTGGGAAACCACCTTTCTTCGACACTTCATGAGGGCGATTTTGTACATGCTGTCAAATTTCATGTAGACTAATAATGGACACAAATGCAGTCATGATGAGCCAGAAATCAAAGATCTTGAAGAAAATATTGTAGATGATATTTGAATACTTGTTATGACTAGTTGTGGAAAGAACTCAAGTTTTCTTGTGTCTTGTGACAATTAAATTATGGCGCATGCACGCAAAATATCTCCACCACTTCAATGTGTTGTGGAGTTGTGTTTGAGTTTGCTGCTTTGTTACTTGATCTCAATTTGACTATTTTGATGCTCATCACCACTTATAGGGATATAGATGATGATGTTATGTAGCCAGCTGCCGGATGGAGTACAAGCATATATGATCCTTACACACACACACACAATTTAGTTGCTACTCCTTTATTGTAAAGGGTTCATTTTCGATATTAATTTCCTTCCAAGTTTTTTATATATTCTTACCAAACAAATTCGAAAACTTTGAATAGACTTCAGCTAGCTAGGGCTTTTGAATTTAAGCCACATTTCTTTCGTTGAAGGAGAAAATTAAAGCGTTGGTTCTTCGTCAATGAAATAATATCTAATTGTCTAACTTAAGTCCATCTCGTTATTAAAAAAAAATAAATAACAAGTTTAAAGTGGTAATAATTAATTAATTAATTAATTAGGATCAGTACAAGAATATATTCAGTGATTAGCCTCTCTCTCTCTCTTTTTTCAAACCAAACAGCTTTGATCATAAATTAATACTAAATTTACTTCTTCATTATAATTAATCAACAAAGATGACATCTATATCGAAATTAAAAAATTCATAAAAATGCAACTTTTCACGATATGAAATTTTAACACTAGAGCGAGGGAGCATACCGCATGCCTTAATGGCTTAATCAATTTATACATCTACTAATTCATGGAATTGGTATTCTTGGTTAACCATAATGCTTAAAAGAACATCTCTTCTAAGGTTGATAGGCAAACTTCAGTTCAATGTTTTTGTTTTTTGTTTTTTTTTTCCTACATATAAATATTGCAATCTGATCAAAAGATATTATAATTAAGGTTTTAATTCTTCTCCTTTTGCTTTGTTTGGTAACTAGGTATGATATGGTAAGAGACGGATGAATCATTGGTGCCAGATGTGAGTGAATATTTCAAACAACAATCAACATCATAAACCAAAAGGCCCTTCTACGCTAAGCCAAAGATGGAGGATCGGAGAAGCATGAGCACTAATGTCTTGAGGAACAAACGTCATGATAGGGTGGGATTGATGTCATCATAAACCCCACAAAAAGGGTCGTCTCGTGGGTTATGTTAGTGGGTGGTGCCGCTATCATCGAATGTTTGAATAGGCTACTTAAAAAAAAATACCACATTATATATATATATATATATATATATATATATATTATCACAAAAGATGGAAAGTATATAAAAGAAATGGGGACCAAAGCAGCCATGCGTGTGACCACATTGGGTCCAAAAATACTAAGAACCCTTCTCTAAGGCTTCCTTGCCCTAGCAAATTGTACCACAATATGCAAGAAAGTAGTGGCTACTGGCTAGTGACAGGCCCGAATAGGTAAAAGAGGGTTTGCTTCCGTACCAAAGAAGTAGGTAGAGAACGAAGATAAAGCAACTAACTAAAAGAGGCATTAGGAAAGAGCTTGTTGGTAAGCAATGGGATTTATTTAATTTTTTTAATGTGTGTGTGTGTTTTTTTTTTAATTTTGTAATTAACCAAAAGCCGATTTTAAATTGATATAAAAGTTATGCTAAAAAATTGATCTTTTCCTTGATATCTTGCTGTAGAATATTATTATGTTGAAAAAGGGAAATAAAAGGCAGGTTGGTTAAATATATTTGTTTTATTTTTGTTAGCCAGGCTACTTATTTGACTGTGTAATTACCTCGACCTCCATTGAACCATTAGATTCTGTGATTACATTCTTACTCTTTCTAAGATGAACCCATAATGGTCCAAAAGAAGCATTGAACCTGTTTTGGCCCAACCAGCTTGAAGCCGGTAGCAGCAAAAATTAGAGCTCGTGCCATAGAATAAAGAGAAAACAGGGAGCGATAAGAAGCTGATCTAGATTGCCGTGCCCTCACATTTCAAAAGTGATTAGAAACATCTATTATTCCATCGTGCTTTTGGCGTTTGAAAGTTATAATTGAGAAATGTTACCAGCAGCAACTAAAAAAGTTTATCTTTGTACTTCAATTAAACAAATTAATTTTGAGATATAAATATGGGATTAATGTTGGACAATGGACAGTGATGATATCATGCACTCACTCACCCAGTATACCTCCAAAAATAAGATAAAGAAATTAAAGACCATCAGCTTATGAGAAGCCTCAAAAATGCCAAACAAAATCTTTAAACCAACTAGCTAGCTAGTATATTACAAACTCGAGACCTAAGATTCCCTATAATGGAATTTGAGTGAACGAAACCTATAAAAAGCATTACTCCAGCTGGTTTTATTTTCTCAGAACTGAAATCCTTATGCTATAAATATGGTACTCGAAGTTTTTTTATTTTTCTCAAACAAAACAGTAGCAATGTGGGTGCACTGCTACACAAATTGATATTTATCATACATATATGAAAAAGAAATGAAGCTGCAGCCACTCAAGGCTATCAGAAGAGAAAATTGAATTACAGATATAGCTATAGCAACTTTCTTTACAAAATGCCCCAAGTGAAAAGGAGCCACCCTGACCCGGGCCCATTGATCACTATCAAAATATACAGGTGCCCTAATATTCTCCTACACCTACCGAAACCCAACTGAAAAGGCCATCTCTAAACTCCAAAAGGACCGGTAAGAGTCATGTACATGTAACTGAAACCAAGAACCTTATGGAGTGGAGAGCAAACCTAGCTAGACAGAGAGAGAAAGAGGTGGAGTGGGTTCCAAGACACAATGATTACATGGTCTTGGGGAAGCAGAAAGGGTGGGGGTGGAAATAGCGAAGAGTGTGGAAGAACGTGGGGGCTTGACCGATCGAGGTAATTAATCAAAGAATTAAGTGGGCTAGCCATCAAAAAATTACTGCTCCTAATTAGTACTACTATTAAAGTTTAATTGCCAAAAAAGAAAAAAAAAAAAACGAAGGGTTTATGCATATAGAGAGCTAGCTAAGCCTTTTATCATGATGATACTATCAGGCTTTTCGGTCTTTGGTCGGTCGACAATCTGTGTGTTGTGTGTTCACTGTGTTTGTTTTTGTGTTTCCCATCTCCCCCCACTTCTCTCTCTCTCTCTCTCTGTAACTGCACTCACAGAGTGTAATTATACAGTTTGAACCAATCACAAAGCAACAAAATAGTGATATTTTACATGGGCCGGGGTATATATTACATACTTTGTGTATAAAATAAACAAAAAGATATCCCCACCCCACCCCTGATAGCTACAGGGATGGATGGATGAATAGAGAATGCCGTAAGAAGAAAGGAAAGGAGAGTAGCAGTACTTACAGACTCTATATATTTAGAGTGGTGGGAGAGAGAAATTAAGAGAGGTGCAGATCAGAACAGAAGTAGAGCATAAAACAACAAAAAAACCAAAAAGATACCAACAAAGCACCAAAGAAAAAGAAAGCTTATATAGTTGAAGCTTAGGATAAAAAGGGTCATCACCACACCCTTCCCACAAAGGCTGTGCCATCCAAAAGAACACCTACCCAAGTGAAAGAGAGATATTGAGAGATTCATTCATTTGATAGAGAGACAAGTACTCTGAAACTTTCTTTCTTTTCCTTGTTTGGCTTTTGTTTTACCATCTCCACCACCACTTGAGATAAGAGCATAGAGCTAGCGCTGAAAAGTCCATATATCCATCTCAGCACGCAATAACATATCAAAAACGATGTGTTAAGGTCTGTTTCTCCTTGTGTTCTCTTCTTGCTTCGCTTCTTCTCCCTATTGGATCGATGAAAAGTATAACTCAGTAGTACTCTCCATCTCCTCTTTCACCCTTTTCTTTCTATTACCCTTTTTCATATAGCTCGACAGCTAGCAAGAAGGAAGTGATCATTATGATTACAGCTTCAAAGAAATATTAGATTTTTCAATCTTTTTTTCTTTTTCTTTTTTTAAATTCTCTATAGAGTGAAAAGGAGAGAGATATGTGTGGACTTAAAGAAGAAGATCAAGGAGAGTGTTCTCAGACCATCCATAACCTACAAAGCTACCAAGAGCAGCTACTTCTACAATATCACCAACAAATGCAACAGCACCAACAACAGCAAAACAGTGATATGTATGGAGGAGCTAGAGGATCAGGATTGATTTTCCCTGAAGTTTCACCAATCTTACCATGGCCTCTCTCTCCAGTTAACTCTTTTAACCCAGCCCACTTCAATTCAAATCACCCAGCTCGTGACCATGACCCATTTCTTGTCCCTCCTCCTGTACCATCCTCATATGGTGGTTTATTCAATAGAAGAGCTCCAGCCCTTCAGTTTGCTTATGATGGTACATCAAGTGATCATCTTAGGATCATATCTGACACTCTTGGACCAGTGGTTCAACCCGGTTCAGCTCCTTTCGGGTTGCAAGCTGAGTTGAGCAAGATGACTGCTCAAGAAATCATGGATGCTAAGGCTCTCGCTGCTTCTAAGAGTCACAGTGAGGCTGAGAGAAGAAGAAGGGAGAGAATCAACAATCACCTTGCTAAGCTACGCAGTTTACTACCCAGCACTACCAAAGTAAGTATCAAGTATCAGAGTAGATCATCATCAAATTTTGAAAACCTACACAAAAATGTTACACTTTTTATGAAATACCAAACCCTTTCTTTCTTTCTTTATTTATTTTTAAAAAAACATATGCTCTTTTGTATATTGAATGCATAAATATGTAGTGTCATTTTATTTTTTTTCCTTTTGTTTTGTAGTATAACTAGCAGTTTTGTCTTTCAAAGATCCCTGTCAATCTCGCTAAAGATTCTAGTTAGATGGCTGGTCTGATAATATGCCAACAAAACATATATTCACTTTAGGTATAAGAAAGGCAGTTACATTTTTTCTTGGTTAGCTTATCTTTTTGTTTTCATCTTTTGAATACTGCTACTATTGTTTTATATTTTCTTTTGGTGTATTCTCCTTCTGAGACTTGTGCTAGTTCCGAGGAAAGAGAAGAAAAACTAAAAGGGACGAAGCGTTGATGTCGCTAAGTTGATATGGTAAAGAGGAACAAAATGGAAGTTGAAAAGCTTCCATGGAAATTTCTTGCCGGTTACCAGTCAAAGTAATTAAGTATAGAATGAAAAGATACAAAGACAGACAAAACTAGCATTCTTGTCAGTCACTTATAGATACCTCGTGCCCTAATCCTCTTTCAAAACCCCACCATTAGAAAAACCTACTTTCATGCCTGCCTGAATAATCATCAAAAGAGAATAAAAACTTCATATCCCCATAATATATGTATCTCTTCTTCCCAAACACCGAAAGGCAGTTTTTCTACTTGTAATAATTTGTGTTTATTACTTTTCCCTTTAACCTACAAAAAAGACAATTAATTATAGCTTGGTTTTGTGTCTTAATTCAAAAATTTTGTTTTCGATTACCAACTTTACCATGCATGCATGTAACTGATTCTGCTCCCTTGTTTGTGACGCAGACAGACAAAGCTTCACTTCTAGCAGAAGTGATCCAGCATGTTAAAGAGCTAAAACGCCAGACTTCTTTGATAGCCGAAACAAGTCCAGTACCAACAGAAATGGATGAGGTAACAGTGGATACAGCTGATGAAGATGGTAAGTTTGTGATCAAAGCATCACTTTGCTGTGAAGATAGGTCTGATCTCTTGCCAGACCTAATAAAAACCTTGAAAGCCTTACGTTTAAGAACATTAAAAGCTGAGATCACAACGCTTGGTGGACGCGTAAAGAATGTTTTGTTCATTACTGGTGAAGAAGATTCATCAAGTGATAGCAATGATCAACAGCAGCAGCAGCAACCACTACAATATTCTATAAGTTCAGTTCAAGAAGCGTTGAAAGCAGTTATGGAGAAGAGTGGTGGTGATGAGTCTTCTTCAGGAAGTGTTAAGAGACAAAGAACCAATATCAATGTCCTTGAACAACAACAACAGCACAGGTCTCTATAATTTTACTAAGAGATCAGTACCTTGCTCTTCTAATGTCTCTTTCCCAGTTTCTTTTTTGCTTTGGCTTGTGGGTGTGTCTTTTTGGTGTGTTTTGTGTTGTTTTTGCCAGTGAACAAAGATGCAGTGATGGTATATTGGTGTGTATTTTTGGACTTCCATCACTACAAAATATAGTGTACGTACGTAGAGGGTGAGAGAATTAAAGAGTGCATGGTTTATATGGGCAGGTACTTAGTGGGGTTACCTTCCCATTTTGTTGTCGGGTGGTTGTGCAGATTAAAAAAAAAATGGGGGTTAGAAATCATACAAGAGGAGAAGGGCAAGCACCAGCCAACAAAGAAACTATGGCAGAGAGGAGGATGCATGTACTAATTAAGTTGTATCCAAACCAGGATCTAAGAGGAAGCTATTCCATATATATTTTCTATCTTAGGATTTAATATAAGGTTTCTCTTCCTCCGAAAAAGATCCTTGGGCTGTTTTTTCGCTTGCTAACAAATTATTAACCAGTTTATAATATTCTCTCTTTCTGTCGTCAGTTAATTTGGTGGAATTTATGGATCATCATATATGATGGGTGACGATGTTGTTCCCGTCATTTGCTACGTCCCTACTGACAACCACCAGCACTACCTTCTTCCTGTCAGTACAATGTTGCTTCAGTCTTCTCCGGATCTTGTTTTGATTTCTCAAGGGGAAGGGGAAAAAAAACCCTAATGCGGTATTCAGGTCCTGTGGGTCACAAGATGAGTAGTAAGTTAATGGACTGATTTGGCCATATAGGGAATGTACATACGCTTAGTGATACTATTTTGTTTGACTTCCTTCTTTCTTGTCCGGTTGTGTTTTCGTTTCAACTTGGATTCACGTTGTTAATTTAATGACAAGTTGCAATGGTCAATGGTTTGTCGAATAATGGCAAATGTTGACTAATTGAATGGGTTGTGGAATTTAATGTGGAGGAGAAGAGTTTTTTTATTTGCTCCCAAGTCCAAATTCAAGAGTAAATTATAAATTAGTTTTTTAAGTTTTGAGAAATAAATTAATTAGTTTTTTTTTGTTTTAAAAAATAATTATTTAGTCTTTATATTTTTAATTTTTCTTATAATTTAATCTTTTTAGTTTTTTTTTCAATTTATTTTGATTTTTTTAAGAAATCAAAAAGAAGAAAAAATAAGTAAAAAAATGAAAAGATGATATTTTTATAATTAAATTAAATGCAATCAACAGCACAGATTAAGAAATTAATTAATTAATTAAAAATAATTAATTAATTTTATTTTTTTGAAAATAGAGGGACTAATTTATAATTTACTCCCGAATCCACTATCAAAAGCATATAAGTGTTAGTCTGCATGTTTTGAGTTTCATTTAAAAAAAGAAAAAAAATCTACTTTTGAGTTTTCTATATGAGCATTGCGAAAATATGTGTAGCTCCAAAATCATTGCACTGTTCAGCAAGACATGAAAAAATAATAGTTGCATGCCTTAATAATTTGTTGGATTGATTCCCTTTAGGCTATTACTTGTAGTATGATTTATCATATCTGTAAAATCCCAATTATAGGTTTGCATATCAATGATTAAGATTTCTTTCCTGTACATTAATTAATTTTTTTAAGAAATCCAAATTATTGTTTTCAACAAATGATTTATGTTTCATAAAATGATGTATCATATTACTAGTTATGTGAGAGAAACGATATCCCCATTTGCTTTTTTTTTTAACCCATAAAATTACTAAAAGAAAATAAATCAAAAATAAAAAATTACCTACAGAATTTGCGACATATTTTAAAAAAATATACATATATTTTTTAAAAAATATGACAGTAATTTCGTTGTAATTAAAATTATTTTTGAAAACAAATAAAATCTGAATTAAATAAAAATTTAAAAAATAAAGGTCCAAATATTCTATTTTTTAGTATTGATATCAAATTGTTGTTGTTGTTGTTGTTGTTGTTGTTGTTGTTTTTGCATTTAATCTTAATGAAAAAAATCAGCATATATTATAAATAAATTTCAAAAACTAAACAAACCCATCATTGTAAACAAAAATATCCAAGAAAATCATCACACTTCTTAATAAATCAAACATATATTTTTCATTATCACATATAATCTTTGCGTCATAACAATAATTAACAACAAAATTAGGAAAAAATCAATAACAACATAACCAAAATTTCTATAAAAAAAATTATTACGAGAGAATGCAAGAGATGAGAGAAAAGAAAAAATATTATAAGATAAAAGAGTACAGAAAAAGGATGCAAAGAGAGAAAGTGATCATGAAAAAAATTACAAAAGGATGTCGGTGGATTTGATGGAGAGATGTGAAGAATGAGAAAATAGAAAGAGAATGAGAATGAAAAGAAAAATGAGCATAATTTTTTAAATTAAACATATTTTTTCAATATTTTAAAATATTTCTAATGCAATTCTCGATAGAAAAGCAGATCCGTGGATTGATACTAATAGTTCATCATGGAAAAAGACTCATTGAGTCAGGGTCATTAACTAATAATGATCTAATACTTACTAATCACTATCTAATATTATAATGTAATACTAATAGAAAAGAAACTAATTCCGTCAGTATATTGTACATAAATTTCATATACTAACTAATCAAGTTATTATTGTTGTTGCTGCTGCAGCATTTAATCTCAATGAAAAAAATCAATGTATATTATAAATAAATCTCAAAAACTAAAGAAACCCATCATTGTAAACAAAAATAACCAAGAAAATCATCACACTTCTCGATAAATTAAACATATATTTTTCATTATCACATATAATCTTGCATCATAACAACAACAACAAAATTAGAAAAAAAATTCAATAATAACACAAACAAAATAATTAACCAAAATATCTATCAACAAAGAAAAAATATATATATAAAGAGAGAATGCAAGAGATGAGAGAAAGGGAAAAAAAATATTAATAGAATATAAAATAATAGAATAGAAATTAGTTGTGTCTCTAGTTCCGTCAGTAGTTCCATAAAAACAATTTGGTCGCTGATTTTTAATTTTATAATAGTAAATATATCTTTTAAAGAGATGACGTAAGGAATTAATTAGTTTGATAGCTATTGCCAACAAAAAATAAAAGTTAATTTTTTCAATAAAATAAAGTTTGAGAGTCCCTAAAAAATAACTTTTTTGTTAAAAATTTACAATTGATTTTTTTCCTAGAAATCGGCTCAATTAATTAGTGTTAACATGATGTATCATGTTAATTAGATAAATCGTGCTTTCTAAATTTTAATAGATGGCCATGATTATTCAGTATATGATCTATTGACTCGAAAAATAGCTAAACTACCTAATTTAATTACATATATGATTTATGCTAAATTAAAAAAAAAATCTTTAAATCTATGACTGTCTAAAAGCATTCCAACAAAAACAAAAGATTATTGTTGGACATTCTTTCTATGGATGGTAATATCATCACTCGTTGCTTTTTTCAATGTTTATCAATAAAAAACAAACTTGCCAATGAAAGAATAAAAAAAAAAGTCACTTTAAAGAGAGAAAGGGAAAGACTTTAGAAGATTTTTTTCCTTCTTCTTTTTCACCTATAAAATCAATATTTTAGAGAGACTGAGAATAAGAGAGAGAGAATTTTTAATTTTTTTTATAATGAGAAGACAGTCAAAAGACTTAATGATTAGTAGTTATAGCTTAACGTCATAGGGGACGATAGATTTTAGTTAGTTTGGTGCGAATGAAAATGATTTATCTTATGAAAATTTTGACAAATGAGTCTCTACTTTTATCCCTCTATATTTGTTATATAACGATAGATCATGATAGATTAATAATATTAACTCCTGAAGTAAAATATGATAAGATTTTTCAAGAGATAATTAATTAAATTCACTTCCTTTTATACATGAAAATTAACCCAAATCTACTTTTTACAAAAAGATTAGATTTTTTTTTTTTTTGCTTTTGTTTTTTTTTCAGCAATTTATTTTAGTTTTTTCATTATTAAATTGAATGCGAAAATTATAAAAAATTAATTGTTATTTTTTTTTGTTTTTCATATAGACTAGCGATTATAAAATATATATGATATGTTTTCGAATTTTAGAATGAATATATATAGGATTATATTACTTTATTCTTTACAATTGATCTTTTCAATTAATGAAAATTCTCATCAATTTTTTATATAATTTTATGTATTAATAAATATAATTTATTTTTCTTTATCTATGGATTTTTTAATAAGTTTTTTTCAATGATAAATAATCAGTCAAAAAATAAAATTCGGGTGTTTTATTTGCTTATTCTTTATATAATCAAAATTTATCAAAATTAATTTTATAATTATTTTTATTATAGTCTATTAACTTTAATATATTTCTTATAATTTAAGTGTTTTAATTTATACCGCATACTCTAATTTACTAAATATGGTCATAATGTATATATAAAAAAAATTAAGATTATTGATTTTATTATAAATTAACTATGCATCTACTCACATAACATCAACTATTTTCTATTTTTTAATAATTTAAAATTAATTTCTTTCAAATAAAATATTTAAAATAATATTATGGAAGAACCAACAAACAATTAAAATATAATTTTTATACTAATATTATTGATTATTTTTTATATTTTTTAATATTATTTATATATTTACTTAAAAAATAATCAATAATATTAGTATAAAAAATATATTTGAATTGTTTGGTGGTTCTTCCATAATATTATTTTAAATATTTTATTTGAAAGAAATTAATTTTAAAATATTAAGCAAAATAATAGTAAATAATTGGTATCATGTGTGTAGATGCATATTTAATTTCTAATTATTTTTAAATTTTTATATTAATTAAATAATAATAAAAATAACTCATATTTTTTTATAATAATATTACTGAATAAAATTTTTTATATTAATTAATTTATTATTTATTTGATGCAATCTTGTGAACGAAATATGAAGATGTTTTTTTAAATTTTCTATTAATTAATTAATTTATATTATTTGATGTTTTTATTTAAAAATAAATGCATAAGGAAGAACAAATTGTGTTTTTTTACCTATAAAATTTATGAAAAACACACAAAAAAAAATTAAATACAAAATTTTATTTAAAATTCATGAAATTAATTTTAGAATATTAAAAAAGTAATAAATAGTAAATGGTTTGTATTATATATGTAGATGTATAGTTAATTTTCAATAAAACTAATAATCTCAAACTTTTTTATTTTTATATATCATAATCATACTTAGTGGGTCTGAAATATATATACAGCATAAATTAAAAAAATATTTTTTAAAAAGAATTTAAATTGTAAGGAATATATTGAAGTTAGTATACTTTAATAAAAATAATTACAAAATTAATTTTGATATATTTTAATTATATAAAAATAAGTAAGTAACACACATAAATTCTAATTTTAAATAGATTATTTATTTTATGTATACCTTCTTTTCCTTGGTACAAAAGGAGTTTTGGATCTGTACATGTAAACTGTAGTCATGTACAAATAAATTAATAAGAGGCAACAAAGTTTCAGAGAGTTGGAGTGATCTTGGGCTTATCCATCAGATTTCAGAATTGTATTTTTGCAAGCAACAAGATGGTTTTGGCATTTCGGCCCTTTTTTGTTTGTTCCGGACCAGTATGCCCAATAGAAAAAGACTAAAAATTGTATAAAAAGGAAATGGCCCATGCAGGTTTCGAACCTGCGACCTTCGCGTTATTAGCACGACGCTCTAACCAACTGAGCTAATAGGCCATTTGATGTCATCTCGTATTTAAAAATAACTAGATAATACATTAATGATTGAAAATTTCGTTATTTATTAACTAAATGTCAGTGGCATTCCGCGGATACGGCATCTCAACGTTGACAAAGAAACTTTGATTTCATTAATATTTATGGGTAGGATATATCGATATAGGACTGATTGCCCTCTTAATATTTGGTTTAAGATAAATTTTATAATACATAGGGAGTAATTAGTGATATGTATAGTAATTATTTTTTGGACTCATTTCGAGAAGAAAGATAGACACACAAAAAGAGAGAGAAAATAAAAAAATTTGAATAGACGTGAAAATCTTTTTATTACTTTTGATGGATACGGATGTAATTTCTCTTTTTTTTATGTGTTTATCTCTTCTCAAAAGTGTATCCAGGAATAACTATTGTGTATAATACTAGATTACTTCCTTATGTATTATAAAATTTTCCTTTGATTTAATATTAAAATAAAATGATCAAAAACAATTATGATGTTAAGAATTAATACATTATTTCAGTGAGTGTGACTAATTGTCCTATATTATGGAGTAATTATTGTAACAAATCAACGTATGTTAACAGTTATATTAAACAATAACATATTAACTACGTACCACCTTGTCACGTATAACTAAATTTGTACCACGATAAATATATCATTTGATATATATATATATATATATATATATTAAAACACAAAAGAAAAAGAAAACGCTCCATAAACATCGGCGTCCCAAGGCGTTTTCCTAACTGGTATAGTTAAGAAACTTCTGGCTGGGCCCCACGGGAGTTTATAGCTATAGTTGTGGCCAAAAATATGAAGGTGGGATGAAGAGTATTTAGAAAGACAAAGAAGAGGTAATTAATTAATGTCAATGTCATCCACTCATCCTAGTACATGAGCAGAGAAACTACTCATACAGAAAAGAGCAAGAACAAGTGAACTGTTGTTTTTCTTTCGATTTCAAGTTTTCTAACAGTAAGAATCTTATAGATGAAGTCTGCACTTCAAATAATTCCTGTCGGTAGATGCATCAAATACGCTGCAGTCTGCACTTCAAATAATTCCCGTCGGTAGATGCATCAAATACGCTGCATTTTTACTTTAATCCCAAACCTTTCTAGCATCTTATCATGTGATGATAAAAAAAAACCTTGCAAGTCATTTTAAAAAATACTGATATTTACAATATTTGAATTCTAAAATTATATTTATTAAAAATAATTAAATTTTATTGTTTTTATTTCAAAGAAAATGTTATCAAGTCAATGACCACTTCCATTCCTATATATATATATATATATATATATATATATATATTCTATGGCTTGTTTGAACCTCTCTATGTAGACATTAATTAATGGTATGGTCGCCAAATTCTGTTAGGATCAGAAGAATGGCTCAGAACGAAAGTTCTATTGAATCAACTGGAATAATCTTTGTACGTCAAAACGGATGGAGGGATTTGGTTTCAAAGATTTAGAAGCCTTTAATATATTCCTGTCTTGCTTGCCAAACAAAGTTGAGGGATTACCTGCATATGCTTTAGAGAAAGAGCATAAGAAAAATATTTGCCTTTAAACACTTTATAGAATAGGGTATTACATCTTAGACCTCTTTTTTAGACTGGTAGAAAGCCTTACTCTCTTTAATTGGTCTACAACAAGGCATTTCCTCCCCAACTTCCCTACCTTGTTTCACATGTCAGACATCGTAGAAAGCCCAAAACGATTCTACCTTCAATGCTATTGATTGGTCGCGCCCCCTCCCAAATTCTTTCAAGAGCCATGTATCACCACCAAGAGTGTGAAAATTGCAGTCGACTAGTTTTCTCGCTTACAAATGGACTGCAAACATCGCAATCCATCCCTTATAGATTGGACGCCACTACTTGAGGGGACTATCAAGATCAATTTTGATGGTGCTTTTTCCTCCCCCAAAACAACTAGACCGACAAGCATTGTGGCTGGAGATCATTGTGGGTCTGTTTGTGATGTTAAGAGTGTTCATCGTCGTTTTTCTTTAGGTGCACAAACTATATATGAAAGCATTGGACCTTTTTTTTTTTTTTAAGGTTGGACCATTTTAAAATTAAGTTTTTATCCAATCAAATCCGTCTAAAAAGATTATTTTTCACCTAATCTCTTAAATCAAATCCGAAATAATAACATGAAAATCAAACTTTGTTAGCCGATCTAGAAATGATCATAATCATTCATTACGAGAGTTCCACTTCAAAGTTGAAAGCAACCAAAGTAATCCATGCTTTGCATCATCGTTCAATCAAGCACGTCTCGTGGTGCCGTACACGTTTCCCCACACCATATAATAATTCCCTTTCCATTAATAAAAATATATCATCAAATTGAAATAGATAATCCTTAATTTCCCATCACCAACTAGTTTATAGTACTCCTAGTCCAACTACTTCTACTCCTACTACTGCTAAATAATAAACTTGGAAATTGACATTAGATTTTTTTTTGGGTAAGAAAAGAAGTTGAGATTAGAATTTATCCTTTTGCCAAAAACAGTTCATACTTTGCGAAGTTTTTTAGTTGTAAATGGGTATCTTCAATTCCACCAACGACTTTCTCTGCTTTCTACAATATTTTATTCCTCATTACCAAAATACCTCTAACATTCTCGTACAAACCCTCCTAACAACCCTGTCATTAAACCAAAAGACCATGTCTATTTCCGTCAATAAAAAGTGCATCTCACACTTTGTTTTGCCGTGAAAATGAAGTCATGAAACAAATGTCTCGGTTTCGATGCCATCCATGATTCACTCTCTTTGTAATTTCCGAATTCATTTCTCCCTCTCGGTTACAGTTCCTTGTCTGAAAACACAAGCAAGCAAATCCCCTAATAGAAAGGGAATTCAATTATCTGGAAATTGGAATTTGCCTTATAAATTCCTCCTATGCTGGTTCCAAGAAGAGTACTGGTGATGAGCTGGAGGGGAGTGGCCAAGTCTATACAGGGCCTTATAGCTCATTCCTTGCTTTTCTCATTCACGCTTTTGCTTTCTTTCAAGCTAGACCGTGCCGTGTCTTACTCTTGGTGGTCAGTTTTTTCTCTCTTTCTTTCCTAGTCTTTTTAGTTACTTTTTTATATATTTTTTCTCAGTTTGTGTTTGGCTGCTGAGAAAGTGAAAATTTTGAGAAAGCTCTGAACTTTATTGAATTTTATGGGAATTTTTGATGTCCCATTTTGTGAAATTTTGGTTCTTCTAAAATCTCGGGTTCAATTTTAGAAGGGGCTTTTTAGAGTGCTTGATTGAGAGTAATATTTTGTGGGTTTTGTAATTGTTTTTGAGTTTTTGACCTTTTGTTTACCTGTTTAAGACAATGCATGCATTGAATGGTACATTTTGTAATGTTGATGAGCTACTGCATTCTCAATTAGTTTTAGTTGCTTCCGTGATTTTTTGTCTGTCATTTTTATTATTACTTTGTATAGCGTGTATTTTGTTGTGCTTGTAAACCAGATTCATGTGGAAAATTTTTAGTTACTACCATGTATGAATAATCGGTAGTTTTCTAAATTTATAAAAAACTGAAATTAATGCAAGTCGATGTTGCTCGCTAATTATTCATCATAAGAACAACAGCAGTGGTTTCTCCTTCAGAATTTAAGCTTCAATCTTCGATAGGCCTAGCGTGCACCTGCTTATGTTGATGGGTGGCTAGGCCTGGACAAGTACAATTTTTAAATGTGAAACCTAACAGGCTATATGATGCTTAATTGCTAATGGGTTTCAATTTGAAATACAATTGCGGTTTCCAGTTTTGGAACCTACTAGAGGTTCATGCCTTGCCTGTGATTGAAGAATATGAGCTGCACTGTTCAATTTCACTCTTAGATTATTGTATTGCTTACAATTCTCAGGGATGTATTAATTTTGATTCTTGTAACTGCATGTAGGTTTTTGTGCTTTTGTGTCTTCTTTTTCTTTAACTAATTTATATACACTAGTATGTATTTATAGCAACACGTAAGACAAGAAAATGTAATATCTACCAAAAAATATTTGCAGTTCTAACCATATATAATTCTGACAACAACTACATTCAAATGCATGGATTAATAGTTATATCCGGCATCTCACTTGTAATGATTGATTTCTTTTCCTTATAAGCTATTAAATAGTCTTCGGATTTTGTTTATATTGTGCAGGATTGTATTTGCACCTCTGTGGCTATTTCATGCAGTCGTTGCACGTGGCCGGTTTTCCTTACCTGCTCCATCAATGCCTCACGATCGGCACGTATGAGATATTTTTTAACTTTTTTGGATTTATGCTCATTGTGTGACAATTTTTTTTTTTTGCAAAATTCTCATGGAAATTTGAATCTGATTTCCCAACAAGTTGTTAGCAGTGCTAATATCTTCTTTTTCTTGGACAGTGGGCACCATGTCATGCTGTTTTGGCAACACCATTGCTTGTTGCTTTTGAAATTCTTCTCTGTATACATCTCGAGAGAAGTTATGGTAAAAAGGCAGCATCCTTCATCACATAATCATCTTTGACACTATTGATTAAATTAAAATTTTCATCATTTACTAAGATATGGAAGCACTGATATACTAGTTATTCAAGAATGCCATCACATCAATCTTTTATTTGCCTTATATCTCTGATGAACCTCAGTTTATGTCTTCATCAGCATTCATGGGTTAGAATACTTCTTCAAAATGTCAAGACGTTAATTTATTTTGTTCTGTGTTCTGAATATATTGCAGTTGTAAATCTGAAGATTGTCTTTCTGCCACTATTAGCATTTGAAACAGCAATTTTGATTGATAATATCAGGTATTCTTTTCAATCACTAATTTTTCTCTCTTTTTACCAACTGAATACTTATTTTGATCGTTCTGCAAATGCATAAAAGTATTAGTATTCTGTAGTTTTGGCCCCAATAGTCTTGATGGCCTAATTTGCACTGACGTTTCTATGGCACAAATAATTGACGTATATATTCTGTGATTAATTGCTACTTCAAATGCGGAGTAAATGATTTTTAAGAACTCTTTCCTCCAAAAACCTAAGAATATGCCAAAAGCACATCTTCCATTGCTTCCCTTTCCGTGGCCTAAAATTCTTCGTCGACCCATTTAGTTGTAAGTGCTTTAAAACCAGTAAAAGAACTCTGATGTTACGTGTTTTTGGTTATCCAAAATACTATTCCATGACAAATCAGACTGTGCAATCCATGTTTAATTGGAGGATGAGGGGTAGTAGGTTTTAGACATTCTAGCTTTTGCGGTAAAAGGATCTGATCATCTGCATGTGAGGAGTTGGTTCTGGGATCAAATTATGATGTCGCTTCAAGCTGTAGTTTTAGCGCACGTGTGCGCACACAAGTACTCCTTAGCAAGCAATTTTTTTGATGGATTTTTTTTCTTCCTTTTTATGATTTTCTATTCTAGGATGTGTAGAGCTTTAATGCCTGGAGATGAAGAAAGCATGAGTGATGAAGCAATATGGGAGACTCTTCCTGTAAGTTCAGAGTTCGTTGTGAATTTAAGAATCATTTTACAATCAATGTAGCACATAATGGTGATTAGCCATTTGCCTGGAAAGCTGCTTATCCAGGCAGGGTGTACTGCTACCTGTTTTAAGCAAGTGATGTCCGTAAAAGGTGCAATAAGTGACATTCTCGTTTATGTTCTAGTTAGCTTAAAGTCTTAACAAGTAGAGTCTTAATTTGATATAAACAAACAAGGGGCCAAACTAATTGACATCCTTTGTTTCATCAAGTGCTCTCAAGTAAAATAGATGTTATTGAATGTTTCTCTTGTCAAATATTGTGGTAAATATGTTGAAAAATGTTTGCTTTTGAATATTTTGGTTGCTTTTGGAAATGTTCATGTTTTTTTATTCTCCCTAAGAATGTCCGATGAAATATTTTTCATCTTTTGTTTTCTAGCACTTCTGGGTTGCAATATCTATGGTCTTCTTCATTGCTGCAACCACGTTCACTCTTCTCAAATTATGTGGTAAGTTGTTTATTGCCCATCAAATAATAATTTTATGTGGGACTAACAAGAAATACTACCACGTTTCAACCTAGTTTTTCGTATTTAGACTACTCACTATTAGCTCAAGACACCCATGTCTAACACCACACAACATGGCCCTGATATGGGTACGAAACCCAGTTCTCTCATTGTTTTGTCCCCGTTCATAATTTCAAGAAATAATTTTCATAGAGGTAGAGAGGAAGCAGTGTCTTTTTAGGTTCCTATTCACGATATGGAAAATATATCCATACTTGATGACAAGCAGTTCACATTCAACAATTACCATGTTGTGTTGTCTTTGATTTTTCTGTAATTTTGTCTGCTACTTGCAGGTGATTTGGCAGTTCTTGGTTGGTGGGACTTGTTTATAAATTATGGGTATCATCATTTCTGCTTACATAAACTTTGGTATTGGTTTTTCATGACAGTTCTTGTTGAAATAATCGAATAACTCCCCTTACAGTATTGCAGAGTGCTTTGCCTTTCTAGTTTGCACAAAGTGGTATAATCCAGTAATTCATAGGCATTCTCATAATGGAGGACCCAGTTCATCGTCAACGAGTAGTAGATATATTGACTGGAATAGAGGCTTAATAGTGTCAGATGAACACGAGCATCAGATCAGTGGAATTTGCAACCCTCAGGACATTGGTGGACACTTTATGAAAGTTCCTTTTATTGTTTTCCAGATCATGCTTTTCATGCGCTTGGAGGTATCATAGATGTTGAAAAGTGCCTTGTAAAAGATTATTTTCAAATTTTACCAAGTTAGGCTCATGATAAAATCATCTTTCCTTTTTACGTCCTTCATTTTCAGGGAACGCCACCGGGTGCTGGACATATTCCTTGTCTGATTCTTTTTGCTCCACTTATTTTGATTCAAGGAGCTGGGGTTTTGTTTGCTGCATATAGATTGGTGGAGAAAATTGTTCTTTTACTAAATAGTGGAGCTGATTCTGGTAGATACTTAGCTGTCGCATCAAAAGCTTATGATTATTTTGGATTTTTGCATCATGGATCCAGGTAAAGGTTTTTCTTGGTAAATATAAAATTTGAATGGCCCTGTCGAACCAGTAACTACCTGCACTGAAATGCTTGAACTATGAAGCAGTAATCATTGCTTAAGGATCATTCCTGTTGACAGGTTACTAGGGTGGTGGTCAATTGATGAGGGTAGTAGCGAGGAGCGGGCTAGACTTTATTGTGCTGGAGGTTCAGGGTATGCTTTCTATGCTACAATCTAGTGCCTTTATGTTATAATTTTTCACATTGATTGGCGCAATCCAGAGTGGCATAATTATTTCTCTGAAGTTTCCAAGGACATATAAGTCCAGAATTGTCTGCATTTCCTTTTACCTTCTAGATCTTGAGATGAATTTATTAAAACCCCATTTAACATATTCAGAGTTGCATCATGAACAGACACACTTTGTATCTCACGAACATAGTTGGGCATGCAAATACATCTTGAGATAATGGAAGATATGGTCCTGAAATATGCAAAAAGAATGAGGAGAAATTGCATTAGCAATTGTTTTTAGAGTTATGAACAACACAATCATGAGGATATGTTGGTCCAACCAATCGACTTTTGGTAGCAGTGTTCTGTATTCTGCTATGGCAATTGGAATGCTTTTATATGAAACACACCATTACACTAGGAAAATATTCAATTTTTTTTTTTTGGACAAAACATTACTATAATCTCTTCTTTTGTGCATTATTCTGCTAGATTGCAAAAAAGGTTGATCACAATATGAGATAAGACACATTATATTTTTCATTCAAATAAGGTATTTATTCATTTAAAGTATTTTTGTTGTCATTTGTAATAAAAATGTGCACTTTAAAGACAATTTGCTAAAATCTGTTAACAATGGCTGCAATGAAATGCTCAAAGTGTCGTTGCGGGGCTTAGTGGTGAATAATGCACTCAAACTTTTGTGGGTAGGGTCGTATCTTCCCAGAACCTAACCACTGCAACAGGTATAATCATCCCCCAACTACCCAAGCCCTGCAACCATGCTTTGCTTATGACCATTATGTGGCACCTGCAAATCTGCATTTGCAACTGTGACTTAAAAGTTTGAGTGCATTTGCCATGCAGGCAAATTCTACACTGCCCTTTGCAGAAGTTTTTAAGGCACTGCCTTCCTACTCGATCAGATTCGACCAGATGTCAACTGACATTCAGTCTCAAGCACTGTCTGACTATGGAAAATAGTCTCGACCGAATGTCAGCCATGAGTGGCCAGTGTTCAGGTCACACCTAACTAAATATTGGCCACTGTTGACTGATATCCAAATACAGTGCCTTTGCTCACTAGAGAAGCTGCCTTGCCATACTGTTTCATAACATAATTTGTGCTTCTGGTAGATGAATAATTCAGTGCAGTGTACATAGTGTGCATAATTTCTTTGTAGACCACAGAAGTTATAGCAAGTTACACATTTTCTAATCTTTTCTTCTATCCTTGTTACTCAGCTACAACACTTTCTCAGCAGAAATTGTGAAGAAGAAGCCCAAATCTGAACTTGTTGATGAGGTACAAACAGTTGTTTTGCCCTTTTAATAAGACTCAGGTTTTAGATTTATTAGTATCTATCCACATTCTAGCAACTGTTAATACTTAATTCTGCCCTTTCTTAATCAAAAATAGGACTTTTAACTTTTCAATTCTTTTGTATCAGATTTGGAGATTACAAGCTTTACTCAGTGAGCAAACGGAAATAACAAAATCTAGCCAGGAGGAGTATGAAAGGCTGCAAAATGTATTAGTTTATGAGGACAGTGTAGTTTCCTTTTATGTTCTTTCTAATCTTTGTGATACCATTCATGTTCTCAATGTTGTTTTCTGGTTCTCACTATGCTGATTTGTTGAATCTATCAGGACAAAATCCTATGTAGAATTTGTTTTGAAGGACAAATTAATATGGTCCTGCTTCCATGCAGGCATCATGCCCTTTGCAGGTACGTGGATCCACCTCTCTTATCGATATTTGTTGATTCTTCAAACTATACACACCTCTGAATGAAAAATAAAAAATAAATAAGATTATAGCTGGAGAAGCTTTTCATTGAGGATGAAATTTGGCTGCAAGGAATAAAGCTAGCTTATTGCATGAATTCCATTTGTTAGCATAACCTCTTTGCCTTCAAAATTGTTGTTAATGCCATGTACAGTAAAAGAACTCTGCGTTGCTTGTTAAAAAAATGTTTGTGTTTATTCCTTTTGTTAATATCTTCCTCAATTTGCATTCAGCACTTGCTGTGAAAAGTGTAAAAAGTGTCCAATCTGCCGTGTCACCATTGAAGAGCGGTTGCCTGTATATGATGTGTAGCTCCAGTTGTATCCATGAGATGTGTATATGTGAAGGAAGGCTTCCCTGCGGCTTGTGATTTTAGATGAAGCACGCACTGAGAAGCCACAACTGTGCTGTCATCTACTCAAATCTTAGTCTTTTGTGCCATTTTCCAGGAACTATAAATATACTTGGGACAGATCTGATGAACTGTGAAAGTACCTTTTTTCATACAGCCTTTTTCTTGTTTTTGGTGTGGTGTATGGTGCCCCAAAGGGATGCTGTATGTCTGAATACATGTAATTACTTAAGTTGTAACATCTTCAACTGAAAATCATCACCATAAGTAAACCAAGAAAAGCATAGATGAGCGTGATCCATGTGCATAAGGTGTTAAATGTGTTATTTCAGTTTTTGGTCCTCCTAGTTTTCTGCCAGGCAATTACATGCAGATGAATGGGTCAGCGCTTGAAAATTCACCTGCAGATTTCACTTCTACATTGCCTGTATGCTTGTTTTGATGGAGAGTGATGAGTTGCGAAAGCCATAGTTTTAACGAGAAATTACTTGGAAAACTCGATTTCGTGTCAAATTTATGTTTTTGTATGCCGCTTAGCACTTGCTGCTACGAAATGACAGAAATTGCGCTTTAAAAAAATCACAGGGTGGCAATTTATCTATAAAAAAACATCAAAATCTGACTCACTCACATCATTTGAATGTTAATTTGCTGCCACGTGAAAATAAAGATAATAATAAGTAAAAGGTAAAGATAAATCCATTAATGTTTCAATAAATCATGGGGAATCCAAGTGAATCATACAAGCAAAAAGTATCATCTCACAACATTATTGAACCACTTCTCATCACACACAAAATACTTGTGTCGTTCTTCTCTAAGACTCCATGCCAGCAAAAATCCCCGATGTTTTTGTCTGATAGAGCCAGCAACTCAACCACATGATCTGGAGTAGCATTTCCATCCAAAAAAATTATCCACCAGTAACTAACAATATTTGCTGGATGGAAGAAAGATAGATACAAAGAAGAAAAAATAAATAAATTTCAGTGGAAATATTTTTATTATTTATTCTTATCTCTTTCCCGGATGTAATTTCTTTTCTTTTTTTTTTTTTTTGGGTATATACCTATCTCTTTAAAATAGATTTATAAAGTACGTATGGTTAGTTACCTTTTCGGTGTTTTAAAATTTCTGGCTTTTACATTGCTTCCTACATCCTTATTATTGTCCTTCAATTTGAGAGCAAAATCATTGAAACATTCATCTAAGGTACGGAAAGCTTCGTCAGGATATAGAGTGCCCACTTCAACATCATCAGGACCATTGATTGAAAAATTAGACTGACAACCCTTGATGAATATATCATGTGTGAACGATGCAACAATACTTTCTGGTATGATATTCTCTGCAAATGAAAAAAAAAAAAAAAAAAGACAGAAAACAAAACCAAAACCAGAATAACTTCCAACATTTTATTGCTTGTAATATTAAAATTAATGCGTCACATTCTAATAAGAATATATATGAAAATTAATAAGCAGAAAATTAGAAGAAAGACCTGCAGCAATAGTAAGTAAGTCATGTTCAGTGACTGTGACTCGAGGGAGGGTTCTTCCAATTTTCTTTTCCCACAAAGAAGCAAGCTCATTCATGTTATAGAAATTGGTGAATGGTCGAAAATGAACTGACTTGTTGATAGTTCTCACATCATCCACAATTTTCATAGTAAACTTTCCAATATCAGTGCCAGCAACAAAGTAAGCTGCGTGAATCATAACAGATAGATAGAGAGAGTCATTTCATTACTGAGCACAAGTCTCGGTATTTTCTTTTTTCGAAAGTTTTATAATATTGAAATAGTAAATAATTGTATGTACAGTAGTTACTTTATGAATCCACTTAAAGGAGAGAGATAAACATATAAAATTATAGTGATTTTTCACGTTAATTATATATATATATATATATATATATATATATATATATATATATATATATATATATTTTTTTTTTTTTTTTTTTTTTTTTTTTTTGTCTATCTCTTCAATTTCTCTTTCCCCGTTATGAAATCCACTTCAATTACTAGATTTTATTTTTTCCCCATTATAAGGCCTCAGTCAAATTATATTCATCTTCTATTTTTTTCTCACAAAAATATGCGTAATTGCATTTTGCTTGATGCCAAACCAGCTCGTTTATGTGATTAAACTCCAAGTGAAATTTCATTTACAAATTCCATGTAAAATCTCATGAACTCTCACCTGATTAGCATTTTTGTTATGTTTTTGTTCACATCCTATTTCTTGAAAACTTGGTGTAATTAGTAAATAAGTATGTTATCCACGTTATTATTTAAAATTCAAATCTTGGGAATGATCATTGAAAAAAATATATATCCTGAATGCATTAAAAAAATAGATATTTCATTCCAATAAAATATCATTTGGAGGTTATGGATGACGAGTCAAGTTGCATATTTCTATTATTAACTTTAATGACGAGTTAGGTGAGATTTTTTTCTTCTTTTTCTTTGTGAGCGGGAAAGGAAGAAAAGAGGAAATGAGGCAAGCTAATTTATTTATGACTTTTTTAAGCTGAAATTAAGGATGACAATTAAACACGATCCGACCCGGTCCCGCCTCGATCAATACGGGGATTCCCTGTGTTGATTGGAGAATGAGGTGGGGATAGGATTTGGCCGCCTCGTCCCGTTCTGCCCCTTGTACAATGACTTAGTTACTTTTGTGCTATTTTTTTTTTTTTGATATCATTCTTTTTTTTGCATCTATCCAGGTTATGTCTTGACAACTTATCTTTAGATTTATTGACTGTATTTTAAGGAAGAAGTTTATAGTTCTTCAAGCAAAGCAACTAATTTCTTAGGTGATATGGTTTGTAAAAAAAAAAAAAAAGAGAATAATTTTCGTCTCGTTTGCCCCACAGGAATCCTCGTCTCCATTTGAAGCGAGGATGGGATGGAAAATTCTATCCCTTTCGGGGCATGGGACAGGAATGAGAAAATTCTTTTACAGGCAGAGCAGGGATGGAGATGGCGATCCCCACCTCGTCCCGCACCATTGTCATTTTAGCTGAAACTTTTTTATTTTTATTTTTATATTAATAGTCAGGATATGGAACTAAACCTATTCCCATAGCCAAAAGAAAAAGGTTGTGACCGGCGTACCTTTGACAGTGCCATCACCGTAGATTTTGAAGTGATCTAAAGGAGGCAGAACATCAGCAGGGTGTTTGTTATCATAGTAAGGCCAAGAAGCAATTGAATTGCAACAAATATAGGTGTAGGGTATGCTATGCTCCTCGATCAACCTTCTAATTTCACGTTTCTCTTTGTACATCTTTAGCCCTGGCTCTACTGGATCAGCCCTCACCACATCATGCCCAAACTCTGATGGCAAAAATCTCTGCAACGTTAATGAACACCCAATTAATTATGGATTTTATTCCCTATATTTACCTCCTCAAAATTATTTATATATATTTCTATCGTAAGGAAAAGTAGACCACCTTAAATATTACTGATTACTACCTTAACGGTGCCAACAGCTTTGATAGCTTCTACTAGGGCAAGCTGGTCCAATACATTTCCCCCTCCCACTGCTGATATTACAATATCTATCTCATGATCTTTAAGTATTTTCTCCATGTTTTCCCTGTCACTAATCAGCCCCTGCGATCAAAAGAAGACATAATTAGAGAGGTAAGATAATCTCATGATCTTTGTTGTGATATTATGTGACGTACATGCAAAATTATGGCTCCTTTGTCATGAAGAGATTTTGTAACTTTGGCCTTGGACGGGCAGGTAGCAAGACCCGGCCGGACAAGAACGTAGGTTGGTCGACCGGAGTCTAGGCTGGCTTTGGCCACGAATTGACCGATAAATCCAGTTGCTCCGGCAACGAGGACTCGACTTTTGATTGTAGGGAGAGCAGCTGAAACAGTCATGCTTTGCTTATTTTTGTTCTGTTTTTCTCTCCGAAATTTATAAACATAAAAGAAGGGTTTGAATTAGAAGAATTAAAAGAAACTACTATATTGAGATATCACAATGCAAGAAGTGCTATGATACAATATTTATATATATAGGAAATTAGCTGGCGGGGCTTTATTTTTAAAGATATATGGAAATATTTGTATATATAAAATGGGTTCTGTTTTGGTGGAATATTAATGATGTTCCTAACATTTTTTTGTTCAGCTACCCTTCAGCAGTCCCCACTCAGCCTAACTTTTTATTATCTCGTTAAGTGACCGTAGTCATCTCACCAACAGCCCATTGGTACGCTTGAAGCATGGCTGACTCTTAGCTAAGTCTTCTCTTCTTAATCTTGACTGATAGCTAAACTTGTGCAATTAGGAAATAACTAAGTGAGCTGGTGCTGCTGCGGGAGGACTCCAACCCCAAGTCTCCAAACGTTGCTTGCTTTCATGCAATCAATGAAAGCTTAATTAGTTTAAAACGAATCAAAGGTTAGTGATTTTCCCCTTGACGTTTTACAGCAAGCTTTTTATTTTTTTTCATTTTACTATATCAAGAATACTAAAAGTCTATTTCTTGGATCCGGTCAAATTAAGATGGACAAACTATTAAAGGGAAACTCCTTAAGGTTTAACTTGAGGTTAAAACTCACGTAGTTAAGAAAAAGAGATAATATCTAGTTGCCCATTAGGTCAACACCTAATACTTCAACAAACTATTTATTATTGCCATTGAAAGGACGCTCGTTCTGTTTGGTTTTTCTTCCCTTGTAGCTGGGAAAAGTGCAAATAGACTTTCTTCTGGAACTAAAATACTATTAATTTGTTTCCTTTGCCAATAAAATATTCCTGTGGACAACATAATTTTTAACTTCCTTTCATCGTTTGTCAGTTTTGTGTTCATGTATTTTTCAGTACAATTTATTGGGTTAATTGCACCTGAAGACCCTCTGCTAGGGGTGTCTAATTAATTAGTTGAGTCGATCTCTTTTATTACTAGTATGATCAACGAGATCTTCTTAATTATTATATAATCCGTCTACATTTAGATAAATTTTAATTTGTTCTCTTGAATTTTGAAGAGTTTTTCAATTTCTTTCATGAGATTTCATTTGTATCAGTTATTTTCTTGAACTTTTATCAAAATTTTTAATTTTTATTTATTTACTAAACTAATATAACTAATGATATGACAACTTCTTAAAATATAAAAATTTATATTTTACATAATTATTATTTTATTTTATTTGGTTTATGAATTTTAATATGATTTGAAGGATAAATATAAAAATTTTAATTATGATTTGAACTAAAATATATATAGTGTATTAATATTATTAATACAATTTACGTTTTACACAATTAAAATACCTTTTTCGTTTTTTTTCAAAAGAAAATATAAAAAGATGATGTTATGTTAACTCTTTTTTTTTTTTTCAAGAAGTCATGTTAACTTGACATTAGATCGTATAATTTTATTAAAATATATTAAATTTATAGTTTAAATTTGCATAATTTTATTAACGTTTTTAAAGTTTGTAGATGTGAGAAATATGAGATAAAAAAAACATAATCTTAATTGAAAAAATAAGATAATTAATAGGATTGAGAAACACGTACTTAATTAAGACTTTTTTAAAACTTTAAAAAGTCAATTGAAATATAAAAGATATTATACTGTTAGTTTAATAAACGAAAGGAAAGAATTTTAGATGAATTGTGAAATTCCTCAAATTTAAAAAGGTCGAAAGATAAAATTGATTTTTTGTAATTTTCTTTGATTAAAAAGAAAAAATATAACAAAAGTTAACAATCAGAGAAATTAAAAACCCCATATTACCCCTCTCATATTTTTGTCTTACCTTTTGTCATACAGAACAAAATTTCCCTCAAAAAAATTCTCGTAAGTTGAATCAATCATTACCCAGATGGTATCACCGAAAACATTGTTGTCCGATTAAGCAACAAGACCCATCATATTGCTGTGTTCAAGAACCAAAGCTAAATTGGCTTCTCTGCTACTGGTTTAAGAAACAAAACAAGAAAGAGATTATTTAAAAAAGAAAACCAAAGCTAAATTGGCTTCTCATGATCCATTGAAGTTTCCAGCTGTTTTAGTGGGAGTGGTCGATGGTAGTAATGGTCTAAAGCTCGTTTATAGTGATGGTGGCAGCGGCGGTCTTCCATTTGTTTGGTGGCTGTAGAGCGGGGGGAAGAGAGAGACTGTATTTGGGGAAAAGGATAAGCTTGTAGGGTTAGCATATATAGAAGGGTGTATTCGTCTTTTTCTTAATTTTATTGTTTTTTAATTTGTGTTATATTTTTTAAACCGATGAAAATAGCCAAAAATTGATTTTATTTTTCTAAACTCTTTTTCGGTAATTAATAAACAAGCGTCGCGCAATCAGCATACCAACATATCACCACTAGCCGCATTAAGATTTGAGGGTATAAATATAAATCGAATGCATAGTAGAAGGATCCTATTAATCATATAGTAATAGAGAGACTAAACTAATCAAATATTAATATTGAGGGGACATCGAGTACAATTAACCCCAAATTTAGTTGATGATAAGGTAACTAGCTATTATACTTCAGCAGGGTTCCTAAATCTCCATGCATGAAAACGGAAATTCCACACGTATAGGAACCAAATCCCGACTGAGAATAAGTGGTGACAGGCAACGGATTAATTAATGTAATTTTATATAATTGCACATTCTATCATTCGATTTGTAAGTTGCTGTCCGTACAAAATTACTTTAAATCAAATTTTCGACCAATACACGGTTTCCACGGATTGAAACGACACACAGCAATCAAAATACGGCACTTTGTACGTAACAAGATAAATTTACGTATTATTTTTCCTCCAATTCTCTGCTTCTGTTTATTAACGAAAATGAGAAAATTTGATTATATCAAAACTATATAAATTTGGAGAACTCTCAACCTTAATTCCAAATATATTTAATCTTCATGACATATTTATCCAAAGGAAAAAAAAAAAAAAAAGCTTCATGCATACGGATCTAAAATACAAATCACACTCAACATTTTATATATATATATATATATATATATATATATATATATATTCTCCTATCAAATAGATGTATTCTTAACCCCACTAGTGCGAGAAGATCGAAGTCCGAGATTTTAACCTTGTAAACAAATTAAGAAAAATAAAGATAGAGCAGCTAGCAATTGTCAGACCTTTCGTTTAAAGATTTTGTTTAGTCTAATTAACTTGGGAAATATCTGATGGTGTATATTTCATAACGTAAAAAACAGTAATTTTTCCAAATGTATTTGTTTTTGCAATCAAGATAAACTTGTTAATTTAGCAGGTATCTCCATCAGACTTTTCTCTTTTTGGAGGACCATAGACTCATAAACTCATAATGTACTCAACATTTTATATATATTCTCCTCTCAAATAGATGTGTTCTTAACCCCACTAATGCGACAAGATCAAAGTTCGAGATTTTAACCTTGTAAACAAATTAAGGAAAATAAAGATAGAGCAGTTAACAATTGCCAGACCCCTCGTTTAGAGATTTTGTTTAGTCTAATTAACTTGGGACATAATTGATAGCGTATATTTCATAACATAAAAAGCAGCAATTTTTCCAAATGTATTTGCTTTTGCAATCAAGATAAACTTGTTAATTTAGCAAGTATCTTTATTAGACTTTTCTCTTTTTGGAGGACCGTAAACAGTGCCAGATGCAGGACCGAATATCTAGAGGGGCCAAAATAAATATTTATAAATTTTTCATAATTTACACAAACTTATATATATATATATATAACATAACGATATATATTTTAAAATAGTCTTAAAATACAATCTCTCAAAACAAAGATATTCATTCTTTCAAATCACGAAAATTATCTATAAACGAATTTATACTAAAATTTTTAGCAATTTCTTTTTCAATATACACTAACAAACAATCGAAAAGAAAGTTATCTTCCATCTTATTATGAAACTTGGTCTTGACTATGTTTATAGTTGAAAATGATTGCTCCGTGATAACCGTAGAAACTAGAAGAGTAAGATTAAGTGTTATCACTCTATACACGAGTAGATAACTTTTATTTTTTATTTTTTTTGTCTTCAAATACACATTATGATTTTTGTCCACGATAAAATTCTTTTCCTCAATTATCATTCAAGTACATTGGAAAACGATTCTACTACCCCGGAGATACTCCGAGATTTTCATATTGCTATCTTTTATGTAGTTACTTGAGCTCATTTGCTTTATTTTTGTTAAAAAGCTTAAAATTAACACCAATAATTAAACCCCTCTTTCTTTCCAAAACTAATATTTAACTCAATTGTCTTGATTATTATTCTCTCATTATGGAACATATCTTGTAACAATCTCTATATTTATATTTTGGCATTATTGTATTGAAGATACAATATCATTTTGATCAATTTATGTTTAAAATTTTAAAATTAATAATTATTTTTCCTTTTTCTTATTTATGATGTTTGCGAACATGTGGAGCCAATAAACTTCAAGGTGGTAATAATATTGGCTAAGGTAGAAATTGTTGGGCTTTTTACTCATATTCCTTGAAGCGATGAAAAAATTTAAAGGATAGTGTTATAGCCAAAGATTCTTTGTCTACTAATAATTTTGGTCATTATAAATAAGTGAATGGATATATAATTTTAAGGTACAAAAACACAAAGGTTAGAGGGTTTTTTTTTTAGTGTGAAAAAGAATGTATACGTGGCTTTGAAATTGAATTTTAGGGATAAAAATCACAATGTTCTTTTATAGTAAATAATTACTCTTATATTTATAAAGTATATAAGATTTTTTTTTGGAATCGAGTATATTCACTTTTTATTCATTTATATTATTATTATTATTTTATTAAATTGAATTGGTCCCGATGATATATGTTGAATTTCGGATGAACGAGTACACAAATGCATCCCC